AGCGAGTCCCACAGACTAGAACACCAGACGAAGGCTAAGTATTTCCTAAAAGCTATTTAATCTTTCAGCAAGGGCAACGTGTTTATTAACAAACTCAAGACACTTTTTAATGTAATGAGCTTTGTTGTAAATGGCATTCTTTAGCACAACTCATGATACCTCAATCAAATCTTCATAGAACATGAAGTGAAAACTTGAATAAGTCTGCTTCTTCTCCCACCAGCCGTTCACATGGTCATACCACGATCCAAAAACCACTACAAACACACAACAAAACACAACAGAGTGTTTACATGAGAAATAAAATGAAAACAATGTCTCTTCTTTCTACAGTAAAACTAAACTGAACTCACTCTTCCCCTCCATGAAGTTCTGCAGGAAGGTGCTCCATTTCCCCGGTTCTGGCATACCACTGTCCATGCGTTCAAAATGGAAGTAGGACACTGCATTGTCCTTTGCATTGCGGGCCACGTAGACTACCTGCAGAACCAGACAACAACAAGTTCTAATCTGTTTCATAAATCCCATGTCTCTATGGTTACAGGTATATATGCATTTTACCCTGCAGCGCTGCTCCCAGAAGGACTTTGGTACAAACTGGACTGGTAGATGAGTTTTAATGAGACGAGGAGTGGTGGGAAGTTTGTCTGCCAAGTCTGTACCTGTAAGGTAAGAATGATTGGTTTGCCCCTAATAAGTTGGACTTTTCTAGATGTCAGAGGTCAACATGGCTAAAAGGCCAACATTTTAAGGCACTTTTGAGTGAGTTTGCAAACAATTTTGAGTGTCTAATAACCAAATAGATTTGATAAATAACCAAATATCAAGCAAAAAAAAAATTATATCACTCTGTTTAGACAACAGTGAATGTGAAACACACTGAGGTTGCATTTTAGCAGCTGCTGTTTCAACATGTGACACACAAAAAATTTCTGCAATCAGAACTGATCTGAGACCTTTGGGCATAGGGGGTTCGCATATCTCCAGGAAGGGTACTCTGTCATGAAGAGGGATGGAAGTCTGACGGTCTGGACCCATGTGCGCAAAATACAGAAGATCTAGGATGTAGGAGACCCATGTGGTTCCTGAGGTTGAAAGAGATAAAACCATGCTGTTCAGTGGGAAATATAGCAATACATGAAATGATTTATTAAAAAAAATACTATAGTAACTAGCTCCACACAACCCTTGTACATGCTCTTAAGCTTTATTTATATAGTGCCTTTCAGCACAACATTTAGCTCAAAGGTTTTTTAAAGCCAATAAAACACACACAGAGATAAAGAGAGTCTAAAATAATTTCCAAGGCTTTGATTTGAGTTTAAATCAGTTTACTTTCACATGTCTTCACTTTCTTATGTTCACCCAGACTGGCACAATTCTGTCTACTAAGGTTAAATTAACCTTACCTGCTTTAGGGTACGTAGCAATAAGAATATCATCTGGTCTTGCTTTGAAGTTCTGTATGTTGTCCCAGTTTTCTGTAAAGTCTGTGATCATGCCAACTCCATGGAAGTCAAACAGTTCTGGTCGAGGTCGCACCTCCATCTCTTGACTTTTTTTTATTATTAGAATAACTGCCTGAGTTTTTATTCCACACTTTAGAGTATCTTTCTCCCATATGATGTAATTTTTTTGTCTGCTTTACTGTTTTATTCTCTGCTCCTCCTTGACATCACAAATGAGTAACCTTCAGTAATTACACCCTCAGTGCACTTTGCTTCTGAAGGTTGTGTTACTGATTAATGATTAGTCAAAGTGTAACCAATATGTCCACTCACCAAGAAATAATAAAAAAAAAATATTGATAACAACAGATAACATTTTATTTAGGGTCTGATGGCAGTTTACCATCGGTGTCCAATACCTTAAAGTAGAGCTTCCCAAGGTGTGGGGCCCGCCCCCTGGGCATGGTATGAAAAGGGAAAATAAAGATTGCTTGGACACTGCTAGCATAGCATGAAAGGTTTTTGACGGGGCTCCCACACTAACGCAAAGCAGGAGATGAAGCATCGCTGAATATGTTTCCAAGCAAACTTCATTCTAAGCCAAAGACTAGAAAATATGGTGAAGCATGTCTTCCCTTTGGCTCCACCTGCACAAGTGCCAAGGTAGGTCTTATTAAAGAGTTGAAGTTATTACAGTTTTTTCTGATTGCTTAAGCACATTTTTTGTAACTATTGGCTAATTTTGCAAAACTCTTCACACAAATAAGAAAACCTGTCACCCAATAATCAAAACATTGTAGTTCTCTTGCAAAAGCAAACACAGCTAGATTAACTCTTCACACCTTCGTAAAAATGGTGTTTCCGTATCAAACAGTACACACAAGCCATCATCTACTAAGCACACAATGCGCCAACTGCACACTGATGGTATGAATACAAAACACATCTGGCTTTTGCTTTCTCTGTGCACAAGGTAGGCTATGTCAGTTTGAGCTCATACTTCTGTCATAGATCCATAAGCATAGAGGGATCCAAACTTCAAGTACTGGTGTTTATTCAAACACATCAAAACAAACACAAGTGTTTATTTCCAAGTATAGGATTATTTGCAATCGCCATAATGACTATATGGGTTACTTGGTCTGCAGTGAACATGCTTCCTCTGCCCCAGCATCTGGTCATCTAGCAATTCTGTAAAGTAACAATTTCAGTATTTTTACATCAATGGTATTGGTGTGTTTCTCATTGGCATATGGCAGTGCTACAAATCTTTGTGCGAAGTGACTGTACTAACCGATTCTCATTTCAAGATGTCCTTATGGTGCTTGCTACAGTGTAGCGGCTCGAGTTAGGCTGGACCCGTTGGCCAGCTACCCTCAGGGTCATTCCACGGTTGATTACATGGTCCACTATTGTAGCTCTGATGTCATCAGCAATTCTATTTCTTACTCTTCCTACCCTTCCTCTCCCCCCTCCTCGTCTTCCTCTTGCTCCTCCTTGTCCTTGTCGTCCTCTTCATCCTACTTCTTCACCTCCACGTCCTCTTCCTCGGCCTCCTCTACTTCTCACTCTTTCTGCTCCCTCCATTGTACTCCACACACAGCTTACCTGTATTATAGTGCTTAGGCTGATTGCAAAGTGAACTAATTATCTAAAAAAGTTTTCACATGTGAAAGTGTGCCAGACAGTTGGCAAATTAGTGTTAATGATAGCCATACATGTGTATACTTTTGCTAGGAGTGTGTTGGAAATTTGGTAATTGAGTGTTGTGCAGTGAATTGTGCCTACAGTTTTGCAAAGTGTGTGTTACAAAATTGCAAACTGAGTGCAAAGCAGTTTTTGTGCTTTTAGTTTTGCAAACTCAGTGAGTGGTTTTGCTATAAGTCTGAATAGTTTTAGGAATTGTGCTACAGGAATCACAGTTAGGGTTTAAGCATTCAGAAAAAACTGTAATGCAGAATTGGTTTTCCCTGCATCGGGAGCACACGCTGGGCTCTCATATCAGCATCCATGACACACAACGTAATGTTCGATAATGTGTCATGCGCAAAAGCAGGGGGCAGGGCTAGCTGGGGGTAGGGCTAGCAGTAGTTAGTCCTACCTAGTTTTTGCCCCATGATCGGAAGGTCAGGGGTTCAAATCCACTGAACGGCTACCCTGAGGTACCCCTGAGCAAGGTATCGGCCCGACGCGCTGCATTGGTGGCTGCCCACTGCTTCACTGGGTGAATGGGTTAAATGCAGAGGAGTAATTTCCTTACGGGGGACTAACACATACACATACACATAAAAGCATCAGCTCTAAGAGCCGATTAGAAGCGTCAACTCCCATTGAGCGAGAGCTGGCTCCTCACTTAATTTCCTTTCGCTGCTCAGCTCTCACACAGTGGCTCAGCTCCAGTCCCTATATATTGTGGCCAATCACATGGGAGGATATAGGCCAGGGGTGTCAAACTCAAATACACAGTGGGCCAAAATTCACAACTGGAACAAAGTCGTGGGCTAACGTTAATATTTATTGAAATATATTTATTCCTCCAGATATAAGAATGAATCTTTTCTTATGGACTCAAACACGTTTTGCTGAAAAACTGAATATGGAACAAGCAAAGCTTGATACTAAACAATATATATATTAGCTGTATAATACCAGTAGGCCAGCTCTAATAGTAATTTGGTGTGGCTTCGCGGGCCAAATGTAATTAGGCTGTGGGCCAAATTTGGCCCGCGGGCCAGAGTTTGACACCTATGATATAGGCTGATATAAAAAACAGAGAGGGTGAGAGATGCGACAGTCAAGTGGAGCGTGCGTCTGTCCTCTCAGTAAGTGAGTGAGACAGTAGACAGCGGTGAGGAGGGCTGTGCGAAAGCAAAAACACATAAATATGCCTGACACCCGTAAACGAAGCAGCATCTGGCTGCAGTTTAAAGACTTTTTTTGTCTCGGTCTTGGTCTCGTCTCAACTTGGTCTTGGTCTCGTCTTGTCTTTCGATACCCTCTGGTCTTGGTATTGTCTTGTGTCTCAGTGTTGGGAAAGTTATGTTGAAAAAGTAATTAATTATAGTTACTAGTTACTTCTTCAAGTTAGTAACTGAGTCACAAGATTCTAAAAGTAATTAATTACTTGAAAAGTAACTATTGCGTTACTTTAACAAAACTTTTAACCCTCTGGGGTCCAGGGTTTTAACTACTTTTGATTTTCCCTCCACATTTTAAAAACTATTTACTTTGCCTTGTTTTGGTGTCATTCGTTTCAGCACAGCCTCACGTGTCTGAATTTACAGTTATGTTTTCATTTTGACTACTATATTAACACAATTGATCTAAAATCAGACAAAAAACATAAAATCAGAGTAGAAAAGGTTATATTTTTTACTGTAACAACAACAAACATGTTTAATGAATCATATTTCATAACTTTAAATGCAAATATAAATTGTCAATTTTAAAATCCTATGCACAAGTTTTGCAAACAACAACGTTATTTGCATCCATTTACCTTTTACCTTGATTTTTTAAATAACCATTTCAAACTATTTACAGAACAATCAGCTGTTCTGCATTCAGTAAGATGCCACACAAATTATTTGTGCCACTCCAAAAAAATAATTTCTGTCCACTATAAAGGAGAACATCACAGCCTGATATCTGCAGGTCTGACAGCAGCAGGTGTATCACTCCTTTTTCTATTTGGAGACAGCAGTCGCCTCATTGTTCTGACACACAACACAAAACTATCCACAACACTTTACACTAACTACACAAGACAACACATTAACTACACACTCCAAACACGCTAAACGTCATGTAACAAGTGTCACCTGGCAGTTTGTTGCTTTCTGCCAGGTGATTTGCTGAAGAGCTGTGGTGGGTGAAGGTAGTGGGTGTGTGGGGTGAAGTCAGCGCTTTTCTGTGGAAAAAAACAGAGGCGATTAATTCACTCGGATGCGAGTGGGTATACTAAGTAAGAGCCTTTTGCCATTTTGTTTGGATTATTTGTTATTGTAGGTGCCCGTTTTTAATGTGTGTCGCTGGACTTTTTTAGTGTGACCACGAGTTTTAATAGAAGAATTGATCAAGCCCTAGATCGACTGCGTGCAGGGAAACTGATCAGTATTGTAGGTATATTAAGTGTTTGTTTTAGCTTTGTGATTTTGAATGTTTTCATAAAATTGATATTTTATTGGGTAATATTTTAATCGATAATGCGAGTTGTGTAAGGGCGGACTAACCTCCTTTTTTGTTTTTGTTTATTTGTTTGTGCCACTTCCCTTTATATCCCAGATTACAGGTCATGCATAGCACTGCTTCCCAGCTGTGCTGAGACCCGAATTGTTTGCAGTGCGTGCCACAGGTAAATCGATTGCAGTGTCGCTAAACGGGGTGTGACGGTTTGCAGTGTTGTGTTAATTTTCGCACCATTTGTGTGGTAAGTCTCATGTGCAGCTGGGATAGGATGTGTTGTAAGTCCTGTCTGGAAATAACTGGGAATTTGAGTGTCTAATTAATGCAATAAATACATTATCAATTTATTTCTTTGCCCCGTTTACTCGAATAAATGGGGCAAAGATCCCTTGTCCTCGGTTACAAGAAAAAACAAAAAACAAACAAACAGGGGAAGTTTTAGAATTGACGGCGAGAGAGAGAGAGAAAGAGAGAGAGAGAGAGAAACAGCAGAAAAAGAAATAAAAGAGTCTCTCTCTGATATAAGATGCGGTAAGCTGAACACAGCTTCAACCGTCTGTTTATTGAAAAATAGTAACGGACCGCATTTTCTTATTAGTAACTGTAACAGCGTTGTAACGATAGGAATAATAATTAGTTAGATTACTCGTTACTGAAAAAAGTAACGCTGTTACTTGTAACGGCGTTATTCCCATCACTGACTAAATGTAAGTAAGTCGGGTGGCATAGTGGTGGTAGACAAACAGAAGAAGACAGACGTAGCAGTTCCCAATGACAGCAACCTCAGAGAGAAGGGACATGGGAAGCTCGAGAAATACCAAGAGCTCAGAGAAGAGGTTGAAAAAATGTGGAAGGTGAAGGTAGCAGTGGTCCCACAATTTTGAGAAGCTATTGGACATTGACCGAGCACACCGTTTGGGTGGCCACACCCCCAGGGAAGGAGACCATCCTCGGGTAACTATAGCACAGATTCACCGCTTCCAAGTGAGAGAGAAGATACTACAGCTTGCTCAGCAACAGTCTCCCTTGAACTACAATGGCAAGGCGATTCACATCTTCCCTGACTTCT